TGTCCTCTTGGTATCTCATGGTATCTCTTTCTACAAGAGGTCACTGTGACCTCTTGTAGAAAGAGAGGTCCAAGAGGACAGAAAAGGAGAGCACTCTCGCCCCCCTTACCGCAAATTTGCCAGCCCCCTCGCCGTATGCTCGGTCCAGAGATTCTTAGGTCCATGGTCGAGACTATTCTGCTATAATATCCATCTCATCTGAATAGTTCGGACATGAACCATAGTACGGACACGAACCATGTCTCGTTACCGAGCGGAATGGATGCCACTTTTTCCAACGCTTGACGCGCCGCCTGAGAAAGTGGATGTGAACTATACTGGATGGCCTGGGATGGCCGCTCTCAGGTTTCTCTCTGCTTTTACACACTGGTTATACTATGGTTCTAGCATCATGGACATAGGCCTTTAGTTTACTGTGATCGACGAACGTAGGTTTCTGATGATTTTGTCGTCGTCGAACTACTGACGGAGATCGGTTTCTTTCTCCCTTTCCAAGAAATAAGACAGACGATGGCACGGCTCATCACTAAATCCACCGAATTGGTAAAACGTACGAACAATTTTTTTAATATCTCATTGTTGCACATTTGTCGTACAATTATTTCAAGCGAGAATTAACCTTGTTGTATCTCGTGCGGCGTATTATGTAACGCTTACACCTTGTCAGACTTTCGTGAAATGATTATTTGTAAAACCTGTTTTACAAGTTTCATTAAAATAGTTTTGTCCTCACTTTGTGTCAGATGTTTCATTAAATCGTTAAATTAGCTTTACCTAGTAAATCTCACGCTCTGTCAAGGTTACATCTTTCATGACAGAACACTGGAGTGGATGAACCACACAAATATCTAAGGAAACAGTTTTATCTTCTAAAAATAGTGATTTTTAAGAATGAATATTTTCAATGTACTTAAAACTTGTATAATAGAAGCACTTTTGACATAAAATATTACGTGCTTCATACTTTGAGATTTAATCCCGGTCTGCAATATGTTATTGGTCATTAGTGGTCCTTTTTTTCTCCCAGAAAAAGGAAAAGAATCGACATGTAACTTTAACTTCCGACTAACGAACTAACAAATACAACTTATTGTAGACTGGGTTTTAAAGAGCAGTAAAAAAATCAGAGACTAGGTGAAAAACATGATTCTTACTCCCTAAAACTAGATTTTATTACATTATTAAATTAATTACTCGGAATGTCCAGTTTCAAAAATGTATAGTAAAAATCTAATTTTGATGCGTATTTATTAACTTTTAGAGCTTTGGAAAATGAAGTTTAATGAAATTAGGTATCATATTTCACATTCTATAATATTCGTATTTGATCCACAAAATAAAAAATAAAAATAGCCTAATTATGTTTGAGTTTTCTCAACCTTTATGAATCTTTCAAAATTAAGCACATCAGAGAATACCATAAAGTCTATCTTTCAAAATTATTATAAAGTAGTTTTTAATAATTTACCAAAAATACTTGTTTTATGTTTCATTTCTTACCTCATTTAAGAAAAAAATTATGAATCTCATACAATGATTAAAAAAATAAACCTAGTATGTGTATAATTACGTAGCATGCTTATAAATTAACGATATTTAATTTTATTTAAAATTCTGTTATAACTATCTTTAGACTTTTGCTGTAAATAGAACATTGTTGCTCCCACTATATCTCGATTCTTATTACTTGAATACGAAGGATGTTGCTAAAGTTCTGGAAATTCTCTAAATTTTATATTTTATTAACTTTTATTAATATTATATTGCAGTTTTCATTTAAATGAATACATGTATCTAATGGGGAAACCATTTGCACATGTAAATACATCAAAGTATTAATAGTTAACGCTAGGGACAATATTTATAGTCAGATTTTGAATTTATCTGAAGATGCTGTATGATACATTTCAATAGCTACGGAGAATCTAAAGATAATCTTAAGACGGTCTTGAATATAAGTTCTGACTATGAATACAGGCCTAAATATTTGCCCCGCGTCATAATTCCTAGAACTTTGCAACCATATCTTGTGTAAAATTTGTATTTAAAGAATTAAATAAAATTGAAAAAAAAAATATATATATATATGAATTACAGTTGGTGTTACTCAAGCAAAGCCTGTGCTACAAGTATGGATGCAATATGCCAAAGTAGAATTGACGCCACCCACTTTCAAGGAGATCCCTGCGATTCGTAGTGGATTTTCAAGATTGATCCATTCCGCACGGACAGGTCGCTATCGGGACATCACCGTGCGCGAGGCCATCATCAATAGCTTAGTGGCCGCCGAAATATATTGCTGGTTCTTCGTTGGAGAATGTATCGGAAAGCGGCACATTGTTGGATATGATGTTTAAGCACATTGCATATGTACAATCTTACATAGATAATCGTGTATAAATTATAGACCTGCTCGTAAATACATAAAAATATATAGCATGCACTCTTTCAAGTGTTACGAATACAGCGAATCTTTTATCCTGTCGTAAATTTGTTGAAATATTTATTGAATTTCGTCATCTCGTATCTTACAAACATGGAAAAGTTATTTTGTCAGTGCATGTTGACTTGCATACTGCCATATGCAAATTGCAGCGGTAACATGGACATTCAATGATCGTGTCATACCTTCTTGAGGAATTTCTACGCATTTGTCGAAGAGGGGAATGAAATTCGGTGGTATACCATCCTTCTCGTTCCTACAAAATAGGTTTCTAATTATACCGGTCTCGAAATAATGCGATATGCATCGGTATTTAATTACCCTAGAATAAGGATTGTCTTTTTCTCGAATTGTGTCGTTGTCAGATTTACACTGTTGACCGTCTGTTCAACCCCAATTAAAGACCATCCTGCATTCTTTCTGTCCAACAAGAATTTCTGTAACTCGTGCGGCTTTACCTAAAGATTTCAAAGCATTGTAGTATCCTTCGGAAAGTCTCTGCTCGCAGTTGATAAATTTAATAAAGAAAGAACTTCCAAATCATTAATACGTTTTTTAAAAAATAGTTTCGAGGAATAACTGTTCGAATACCTGTAACATATTTAACCATTTATCAGCAGATACGCTGAGAGACTGAAATTCTTTGTTTTTTACACAATCCGCATTTGCGACAACTAATGCTGTGACTCCAAATATTTCGCATGTTCTGGCAATTCCACCTAAATTCGGTGGTCGATCAACAAAAGATGTTACAACTATTAGTCCTTCCTGCAACTGCATATCTTGCAGAAGTATGAATTCGCTCGTCATTTCAAAAATATTGCCACGTAATTCTATAGGCTTCGACGGATCAATCTTTTTCTGGATATCATATAAAGGCATGTTGACTTCAATATTATTGTCTAATAATTCGGTGAGTGTATCACCTGCAACGTAATCATTTACATCAATTATTACATTCTAATAGTTTGTTACCATTTTAATTTACCTGTAAAAGATTTTGTTAGATATACGGAAGGTTTGGCCTGAGTTAGAAATAAACTTGTGTTATGAAGCTGCAGAGGATGATCATCATTTTCCTTAAAATTCAAGTCTTTGAACACATGTGGACTAATCCATTCGTCGAAACTTACATTAGTCAAACGCGGCAGTTCGTAGTAAATTGTCTATAAATATCAGAAAAAGTATTGGTACATCTTCAATACTGATAAATTCATTTCTACGACTTTGAAGGTAAACATGCGGTGTATACCTGTAAGCTGTAATCGTTGATTGGATGAAACTTGAAAAAGTAAAAATCATCCTGTATTCTGAATGAATTTTTCGTCAAACTTTCCTGTTGCAATCCAACGACAGCTGCTTGATATATACCTTTATATTCTGATATGCTGTCACCGCCGTATGTTATTTTCATTAATTCGTACAATTGCGTCAAAACGAACTGTAGACAGAGAAAATGAAGCGAAATCACGATATATATTCGCGTTACATTTTAATCTTTGTTTCGTAAATTTTACTTGCCTGATTATACATGCGCACGTTAAATTGTTGCCCCAAGCAACATTGTACTATGTATGGCAGGGCCTTGTGAATAAAAGCTTTCTGATTGTTACCTGAAAGAAGTTTCGCAACATGATAGACAATGATTGCCAGAGAGATCGTACACCTTGGTCGATGCTTTATACTCTGGAAAAAAAAATATATATATTCTGTGAAGCAAAGATATTTGAGAAATTTCTTTTTGTATAGGATTATAGAATTCATTAGGATTACCTTTGCGAAAAATGACCACAACTTATCATGCAGGTGACTATATTTCTCAAAGATTCGTATCATCAACCATTCCTGCATTATTCTTACGCTGGACTGATTACTTTCCGAAAAGATAAAATCACACAATTTTTCCTGTAGTAAGGGAACAAATTCCTACAAAACAATCATTTATTAATCAATTTCTTAATCAGAGTAAAAAATTTAACTAACAACGAGAAGTTAGCTCACCTTATTCAACAGTGGTTCCAATATCAATAAAATTTGCATTGCTCTGTGTTTTAATTTGTGTAAGGGCGAGTCGTTAAAATATCTCTTGGTTGCGTGTTTTTCCAATGTATCGAGTATTAGCCGTACAAACGTAACTGTATAATTTACTTCTGAATGAATTATTCTGTGTAACAATATAACCGCCTCTGCTCTAATCGCGGTATCGTTATTATAATCCCTATTAAGAGATCATCATGCATCAATATTCTACTAAATATTTAGAAACATTATCTACAAATTTATATATTTTCAAGGCTCTTATGTTCATTTCTACCTCTTCATACATAATATACGATGTATATTAATTTTAATCCCGAGATAACTTATTTTTCACCTTTCTCTAACTGTATTATAATAATTAGAAAAGGATAAAAGTGAGTTACACCGAGATTAAAGTTAATCTACATTGATAGAAATGGACATTATTTAAAACAAATGTTAATAAACAGATGCTTACAACGTAAAAATATGTTTTGGATAATATTGACTCAAGTGCTTGATGATAAATAAATGGGCATAATTTTCGATTTTCTTGTCGCGCCGATATATAGAACCGTGAAGCAAACAGTTCCCTAACAAGCTTTCTAATTTTATCAAATTGCACACGTCCAAATTTTTCATTTTGGAAAGTATTATCCTTTTGAACCTTGGTGTATTCTCTCTTTCGTCTAATAGTTTAGCGATGTACTGCGAAGCAAGATAGATCATGAGCGATCAAAACTTAAAAAATGACACAGGTCTTTCACTGTAAATAAATTTCTGACTTACCTCTTTTGCGAATTGTATGGCATCAGGCAAAAGCAAGAAGTTATTATTAATAATAACTCCCATAAGGTTCTCCATTGCTGTCCAAAAGACATTGTTCTTTTTACTGTTGATGATACACGTGAAGCTCAAGTTAAAGGCATATTCCAAAGTTTTTCTATCGCCCTTATCACTTACAACCTTATTATCAACCATCACCGTAAGTATCTTTGCAATCTCGGGAATGTTTTCTAGCAAGCTTACTTCAAGAAATTTTAGCAAATTAGATAGCATCGTGGCAACAGGACCCCACGAGGACGCTGGAGAATTCACGAAATACTCGTGCATAAGTTTCAAAAGAAGCAAAGAATATTCCGATGTAATTTTCCCTTTTAAATTTGTTGCACTGACATCCTTATGAATGTCCATTGATATTCGCTTAGTCAATAGATGCTTCGTGTAAAAGGCTTCTGCGATTGGCAAAGCCAATACGTTCTGAGAGAGATATAAAACGTGTAATCCATACAAGTATTGCAGATTTAGATTTTGCACATTGTCTATCAAGTTCATACTTTCGTTGCGCAAAGTCTCCACGTAAAATTTCATATCCTTTTCCGGTATAAAGAACGACGCGTTATTGATATGCGAGGATACGACAGTTGTATATCTCGTGTAATCTTCGTAAGTCAGCTCCGCGGACATCCTTTTCATGCATTTAATTAAAAAATTAAAAGTGATACGTATGTGTAGCGAGACAAAGTTTGTCATGTTATCGAGGGAACTTGAAGACTTTTTCGCGGAAAGAAGCAGCAAATGCGACATAAATTCTACTATATATATACTCGAGATAATATCAGCGTAAGGCCGGAGGACGATGCCATTCAGGGAAGACAGCCAATTGCCTAATGATGTTGCAGCGGGACATGACTTGTACGAGAATACAAGATTTGCATCAGATAACAAATATACCATTATTGCAAATGTCCTAGAACTCATTTCGGGACTAGCATTTTTATGCGAGTATCTGGCACAAGTCTCGTTTACGAAAGTCTCTGCGCTATTTTTCGCTAATAAATTTTGCAACCATGTCGTAATTATGTTCCAAGGAATCGTCCCTCTCGTGAGACCCTCTCCAGGGGGAAACGCGACTAAAACATTAGCGAGCAACGGCAAGTCGTTTATCTGTCGTACGTAATTGGGGATCGCTTTCAAGAGCTCAACTTGAGACGCGGTACGTAGAATATGAGAGTGCATGCTCAGATTTGTCTCCACTAGAGATTTAACCGAGTTCAATTCAGCAATCTGCCAACTGGAATGTTGTGTCTCTTCCTGCGAAACTGTTCGTAACACGTGTAGTACGTAAAATATTGCCACAGGGCCCCAGGCTACGCGGCTGATATTTTTGAGAAATCTATTGGACAAATCGCTCTTCTCCGCGCGTCTGAGGAACTGCGAGAGTTCTTTCACGACGCCCGGACATTCTTCGTCGGGCTGACATTCATAAAGGAAGTTGTTATTCAGGACTCTCACAAACAATTCGAGAAACTCATTGTCAAATATGATGTCATCCAATCTGCAAGCGTAAGATACACCCCACTTTACAACACGATTGTCCTCGTGCAGTAAAACTTTCTCGAGAATGCACCGCAGCCATACAGCGTTGAAGCAATCGCAGGCTCTGTGTTCTTTGTTTACTTTTACTAGATCAGCTACGTGAACTAAAGCTGGTGTTACCAAGTGTTCTTGTTTCTCTTCCAACGCTTCATACACCAGGAAAAATTTTTCCTTGATGTGATCTGTCGATAAAAACGTGTCAGATTGATTACAAATAAACGGTGTAACTTGTGCCTTTGTCAAATCGGATTGTGCCAAATTCAATACAATCTCCTCGCTCATGGAATCGATTGCTTTCTTCATTATGTATACAGCTTGTTTGCGATAATGCGGCAAGGACGAGCGCAATCCCTTTAATACGAACAACCAGAACGTGCTCTTACAATAAATATCATGGTGTATATAATGCATTGAATCAGACAATGTCAGGCTTATGTCTGCCATGATACTTAAGGCAGTAAGAAACTCTTTTAAATTATTCACTTTATACAGGAAATGGTCCCATAGAGGGAAAACGATACACTTAGAGGTGAAAATCTTTACTAACTTAGGAAACATCGAGACAAACAGTTTCCATTCACTATCTTCCTTCACTCTTATCCAAGACTTCATAATCTCTAAATACATGTGACCAAGGTCTTTCAATTCTTTGATCTCTTCACTAGTGGCATGAAGCTCATACAAGTGTAAAAATTCTAAAAGACACTCCAATACCTTCATATACATAATTCTAGAATCGCTGGTTGCAATATAAGTGTTGCTCAAGTAAAGGAAGTTTCGCAGACGTTGCTTGACCGAGCTAGCATTGTGGTAAAGTATCATTTGCAGAATGATTATGTCACACAAGAGCGAGATTTGCGAAGGGTTTCGCGAGTAATTTGGTGGAAAAATCATTTTTATGCTGGGAAAGCAAAGTTTCTCTGCGTCAGCAGGTATTGTATACTTCTTACAATCGTCACTCTTGATATCATGAAACGCAGACTGATATTCGTAACACAATAGCAATCGACAGAGCTCAAGTTTATCTATATTCAACTCTTGTATAGTTATCTCACAATTGTAATACTGCATCAAATGGTGTATGTTAATCTTGTATGTGCTGTCTATAGCTTGTAAAAGTGAGACGTTCACTGCAGAAAAATGTAAATAACGATTGTGCAGATCCATCTTATTTAGATTTGTTTCCTTCACGGTCGATTCAAGCTGTTGAGACGTGTTACTTCTTAATGTGCGGCAAAAGACTCATCACTGTATTATCCTTTCATTCGCAAAAAGGCTGGTGTCGTATCCTAGAAACACATGCAGTATAATTACATCAGAAAGGTACAGAGTTTTTTATATTTGCAATTTGTAAAAAGATTATTATCAAGGTGTGTTACATATTTTCAGTCATGAAAATGTAATTTTCTAAGCCGTGACAGAGTATCTAAATAATTTTGTTATAAACTTCTTATTGCAAAAACTATTACCTCAGCCAGGATTTTAACCTGAACCTGAACCTACCTCACTGAGGGACGCCCGCCTAGTGAGTAGGAAGGTTCATATTCAAACCCTGGCGGAGGTAATATTTTTCGCAATAAATTTATAATAACATTGGGCTTGTTTTCTGTTCCTGCACTGGTGAACTAGTGCAATAAATTGGAGTAAGACAAGTATATTTTTTCTCATTCTAGCTTACTGCACTAGTTCACCAGTGCAGAAACAGAAAACAAGCCCCTTATTTAGAGACACTAAACACCCTATCACGGTTTTGACCCCTCTTATTCCTACGAATTTAATATTTAACACATGTGAGCCTTATGTATTTAATATAATTTTCTCTTACTGCTTTCGATTTAACTACATACGTATATATCGCTTCTTATCGTATGTGTGATATCAGTAAAGGTGCCATTACATGATAGTGAAAGCCTCGTCCACGGACTTAGGCCTTATGGTGCGATCCCATGGACGCGGAACGTGCGCAATGCGGAATTGGCGGAAGG